GCTAACTTATGTTTTAACATTTCTAGATTTTATAAAGCCTTTCTATCTGACAACAGATGTTAGTTCTAGGTACTATCCTAGCTCTAAAGACCAACAGCAAATATAAGCCAGTTATTTGCTAGTCGAGTCCTCACCAAGGCTGAATGTAATCTACAGTAATTGAGCAAGAAGCATTAGCTATAGCTTGGTCCTGAAGTTTACCTAGAAAGGGTTTCGGGGATCAATGCCCCCACGGCCTGGTCTGAGACCAGGCCTCGTGGTGGATCAGGGTCTGATCAACCAGGCTGTTAATGCTGGCCACACTTAAACATACGAACCACAGCCCGGCTGATCAGGTACTGACTTTAGGTGCCCGTCCAGTTCCTTCTTGATGACAGACAGGGGCCTATTTGTGATCCCCCTATGACATATGCTAGTACATATCAAGGTCAATTCATTCTTTTGTTCCAGAACAAACACCTGACTGGACAATTAGCAAGATGTATGGTCAGAGACCTTGCTAATTGGCCGGTCAGGTGTTTGTTCTGGAGCAATAGAATGAATTGACCTTGATACTAGCATATGTTATCTCGAAAATGCTTTTAAATAAAGACCAAGACTGTTCAACTGCCTCCCAGCATACATAGAGGAGGATCACAAATAGGCCCCTGTCTGTCAAGAAGGCACTGGACGGGCACCTAAAGTCAGTACCTGATCAGCTCGGCTGTGGTTCGTATGTTGGTTTAAGTGTGGCCAGCATTAACAGCCTGGTTGATCAGGCCCTGTTCCACTGCAGAACCTAGTCATATACTCCAGGTATCACATACAGATGCTTATTGCCCTGGAGGGAATGTTGGAAATTAATCTACAACTTTAGTGTACTCTTTTCCAAGGTTCACTAGTAGTATGGTATACCTGAATAGTATTTGCTTCAACATTGCGCTTGTTACATTTACACGTTGCATTTCTTGACGTGTTATTACTTTTCTTGCTGTTGAACAACGGTTTAGTGCCGATGGAGGTAGCGTAGGTAACAATGATACGGCCGTGGACTAGTTTGGCTTTAATTCGAAAGGAGTGAGTACACAACGGGCAATGTGAGGGAATGACCGATAGCCAGTCCTTGGAGGGGAGCGCTTGTACCTCTCAAGTCAGTCAGCAGGGAAGTGAGAGCGAATGGGCCCAGTTTCCCACCGAGCTGGGTAAGCCTACAGAGGGCAGCACTTAAATGCCGCAAAATATGAACTAAGCTGGCAGACAGCATAGGCTGTCTACAGATGTACCCTGAAATATGTTTGACATACAAGGCCAAAAGTATTTCAACCTAGCTTGTTTAACTGAACGATCCATACCAGGGTGTGCTACACCTGGTACACAGTGAACTGCTTCGGTACAGGAGTTTTTGCTTCATGAGCCAAGGATGGGAGCTGGTGGTTTCACCGAGTCTGATCTTCCTTCAGCAGGAATTGAATCACACCAGACCATGATGGATCTGTTCTTTGGGCACATGCTCCATCTTCTGCAATGAATTGAGGATCGGCTATGACTGCACTAGTGTGTTGAGATAATATATCTGCAACTACATTTGATTTGTCTGGCAAGTGTGCTCAAGTCAGGTTGAACTCTTGTATGGTCAGAGACCATACAGGTATACCATACTACTAGTGAACCTTGGGAAAGAGTACACTAAAGTTGTAGACTAATTTCCAGCGTTCCCTCCAGGGCAATAAGCATCTGTGTGCGATACCTGGAGTATATGACTAGGTTCTGCAGTGGAACAAGGCCTGATCAACCAGGCTGTTACTGCTGGCTGCACGTAATCCAACGTACGAACCATAGCCCAGCTGGTCAGGCACTAACTTTAGGTGCCTATCCAGCTCCCTCAGGAAGACAGACAGGGGGCTATTGATAATCCCCCTGGGAGGCAGTTGAATATTCTTGAACCCCTGACTTTTCATTGGGGTTATGTTGCACCACCTGCCAAGTATTTTGCTTTTGAGGGAAGTAATTTCCATGTGCAGATTTGGGACTAGTCCCTCTAGTTTTTTCCAGGTGTAGATTATAATGTATTTTTCTTGCCTGTGTTCCAAGGAGTACATGTCAAGGGACTTCAACCATTCCCAGTAATTCAGGTGCTTTATTGTACTTATGTGCAGCGAAAGCTGTCTCTGTATTGTCCAGGTCTGCAATTTTGCATTCCTTGAACTGGGGCCATTAGAGTACAACAGTACTCCAGCCTAGAGAGAACAATCGATTTAAAGAATCACTGGCTTGGCATCCCTAACTCTGAAGGTTTGTATTATCCATGCTATTATTTTCCTAGCTGATGTGATAGAATGAGGGTACTTGTGTGATCCAAGAAATACAGCCCAGTAAACTGCAAAATGTTGTTCACTGCTTACATATGAGTACTGTAACTCTGGCAGTATAGATTTTATGGAGATGCCATCCTGTCAGCAATTGCTTAACTGAAAGGATAAATAATTAAGTGCTTGATGACAGAGCAACGATTAATCCTGACAGTGAAGCCACGCTGATGTTCAGTGTGACGTCAATTCCGCGTACAATTTCTCCTATACACACACTCCACATAGACCCTACCTTACGTCTACCTTATGAGTTGCTGCACTATTCTAAATCCTAGTTATAATGAAGGTGACTTTCTAATAGCTTTTACCAGCTTAGCCCAAAGTGTTTCTACGAGAATCTGAGAAACACTTCAAAAGTCAACAGCAGAATTTACCAAAGTTACAAACACTTGAGCAAAGCCAAGCAAAATTAAAGTAGGCTCGAGGGTATTGCTAACTAATTTTAACAAGATGTCTGCAATGCCAAAGCTTGACCATAAGTTTGTTGGTCCCTATGAGGTTGTTGAATGCCTCAGTGGTAATAAGTACATAGAGAAATCAGTAACAGTCACTGCAGAGTCCCACCTAGACTACACTAAGTTGATGAGACTTCTGGCACCCAGACAAGTGAGCTAGATGTTGACAATTTTGACCCAGTACCTTCTACCTCTAACAACCTGACTGATGCACACCTCAGGTTTCAGCTATTACCATTTATGTGCAAGACAGGTATACAATACCGACAAGATGAAAGTTAAGACACTTGTGCAACATCTGGTTATCTTTATTGTAAACGTTTCGCCATCCAGTGGCTTTATCAATACAAATTCTTGGACATAATTAGAAAACAGTAGAACTATATACAAAAGATGAGGTAATCAGTCCCTCAGCCTTGGAGGTGGTGTTTACAACACCGTAGTTGTAGAGATTCTGAAGCACAGGTAAGGAGACTGGCGCTTATGTAGGTGTCAGTGAAGAGAGACGTGTAGCAGACGAGGGCATAGTCACTGGTGACTATGCCCAGATGTTGCACAAGTGTCTTAACTTTCATCTTATTACCATTTATGTTAATTCCTCTCAGTCACAGCAAGTATTAGTCATTGCCATTGAATTTGACCCTCTCTAGAGCTTATGACCACTCTGCATATGTAAATATCACCCCAGTAGGGTTGGTGTTAAATGTAAACACTATATTTTATACAGGTGATTAGATGAATTAAGTCATTACTTAACTGTCATATTTCTTAATTGTGTATTTTTACTTTGGATTAGAAGTTTTTTATACATTGATTATTCTCGTTCTCCACGAATTCTGAGATTTAATAGTAATAACTTCAGTGCATCTAGTTGTCTTGTCACTTAAATATTTTTCTCTTTGTATGTAATTTTCCTCAGAATTCATAGACCACCTGAATAGTGATCTATCAATCTCCTTTATTTTCCATGATCCACCCCATTTAATTATACTTCTAATCTAGCATATGTCCTTTTACAATATTCTTTTGCATAATATAGAATAACTGCCTGTTGCCCATTATGTCTGCCATTCAGTTGCCTACACGTTGGGGACACCATAACATAGCATTTACAGAGTTGTCAGTACTGTATGTAACTGTAGGTGTTACACCCAATAACCATTATAGTTGGTCATGTGATCACACTATAATCTAAGACACCACTTGCTCCAGCACCCTCAGTCCAGAGACAGCACAATGGCAGGCAAGACGTGGAAGACAGGCAGATCCCCATTCTCCAATAAACTGATAAACCAAGTATGTGCATCATTGCTACCTGATATCACTCGTCAGAACCCATGTCAATAATGATGATGATAATATTGATCTAGAAATGATATTACCCTCTCATTCCCTGAGATCAAGCTTCATTATCACTAACCCTCCCCATTCCTGATACCTACGTGACCTCCAAGCAGGGTCTGACAGCACCCGAGAAATAGAAAGCATTTAGGCTAAGTTTAAATAATCACCGTTAATTAAGAAAACCATAAAATTATTCATGTCAGAGGATTCCCATGAAAGTTCCTTGATGTCCCTACAGGCATCCATGTAATAATATAATCCCTAAGGTTGAAAGGCATAAGCCATGGACAAACTTAAAATGTGTTCTAGTCAGCAGTACGCCACAGGCTACATGGGGAGGCAGGAGCGCCTGTGGCTGTGGGCGAGATGTTTGTGGCCAATCTTCAATTGACAGATTGGTCTGAAAGTGACTTCCTGTTGTTGGAAATCCAAACTCCCACATCCTTCCAAACCCTATACAATTTTTGGGACACCAATCTGAATCAGGCACCAAGTTTTTTTTACACAAATCAATTTTATAGGCAAAGGGCCGTTATCCTACCTCAGCTCATTTCAAAGCCCAGATCTAGGTATTCTACCACCCCTTGAGATGTGACCCATAATGGTGTACTAACACCCAGGTCCCTACTTACTACTAGGTGAAAAATGGCAGCATGTGTATGAAAACCTTGTGCCATACATGAAGGAAAGCTAATCACTACTGCATCTTCTAGTCCACAGTGTGGTCTGAAGTATACAGGGTTGGGCAGAGAGCACACTGGAAATTTTAGTACACCTTTCTGAATGTGAGTCACGATAAGTTGTGGAATGAGGACCCGCTAGCATTAGAAAAAGTCAGGGCAGCAGGACTTACCCCTAGGTACTGCCTGCCGATGATCTCGTTGATGGTAAAAAGCGGGATCTCTATCATGGTGACGAGGATCAGCTGCGTGGGAGTGGTCTTGCCTAAGACAGCCCCAAAGGTGATAAGTACAGTAGCTGCCGTGAAGTCAGCCCCCAGCAGCCTGTTTACACATTACATATAACTTAAACTAAACGAGTAATATTAAAAAATAAAAAGAATGATGTGGGATTTTATATTCCAACACAGGGAGTACATGGGTACAAAGTAGAGCATCTGGGAAACATGCATATATGGCCTATTTAGAAAGTTTAACATTTTTAGGTTCTTACTTTGTATTTATATAATTTGACCTGATAACATGGTAGGCATGATCGTGTTAATCAGTGAAAGAAAGATTACTTAAAATGCAATGAGTAGAACACATGGCGACTTAGACTTACGAATTCAAGTCGACGAAGATGGTGCCATACTTGAGGTGAAAGAAGCCATGGATGAGGATGGCCCACTGGAGGCACAACGCAGAGATCATGAAGTTGAGACCCACAGCACTGAATCCGTATTTCTTCAAGAATGTCATCAAGAACCCGAAGCCCACGAAAATCATTACGTGTACATCCTGAAACACTACGAACAGGAAAGAGAAGCTAGACAGGATGGAAAGCCATGTACATTTGTACGTATTCTGTTGGGGTTGTGGGAAAAGTTGGAGGGTTAGTTAATATCTTTATGCAGTCCATACCCATCCCATGGTCAGTAGTCAAAAAGATTATAGAGGCAAATAATGAGTCCAGGGACTGGGTTGCAAAGTTCTAATCACTAAACTAGTTACAGCACTTAGTAAAGAATTATTTACATGTTTATATCCAGTTACAATCACAATAATAATATTTCTACATGTACAAGGTATACAGGTCTAGCTGACATCAATGACATACTACTATATAGACCCCTCAAGGAAGGTTCCTTGATGCTGGTGAGGGGCTCTTGATACAGGGAATTGGATCTGTGCTCCAGTTCCCTGAATACCTTCCACCCCCCCACCCCCACAGATGTATAAACCTACAGGTTTAGCGTTTCCCCTTGATTATAATAACAACAACTACTATATAGAAAGCCACTTGTTATGCAGAGCATTTCGGGCAAATTAGGTCATTTTGTCCCAGGATGCGACCCACACCAGTCCACTAACACCCAGGTACCTATTTTACTGATGGTGAACAGACAACCGGTGTAAGGCAACACGCCCAATGTTTCTAACCTAGCCTGGAATCAAACCCTGACACTCACTCTGTGAAGCGAGAGCTTTGGCCACCAGGCACCTTTAATGAGTTATTTACAGCAATATGAACAAGGTCACACAGAAAAGTTTGTGGTAATGTGTTAAGTACAGTGGTCAAAAATTAAGGTATTTTTCCACAATGGCTGGTAATATACCATTGATACAATACTTTAGGCATTTCTTGAGCACGTCTGAGTTGTCTCTGAATTCATTAATTTTATTTCATTCCAGTACATAAGGTGTGACGATTGTCCATCTGGCAAAGTTTACATTTAGTTTGGTCTACATTTGGTGGTGATTTAACCACCCAGAGATATTGGTAACCCAGCCGGAGCCGGGTGGTAGTGACATCCAAGAGTCTGCTTATGTTGTTAAATGCAGCCTAGACATATGGCTTCTCCTGCATGACAATGATGACAGATGGATTGACTGGTGTCAGTTTTCCTCAGTCTTGATCAATGAAGTTCAACTGAGTTCCTTTCGTTATTGTTCTCAAATTGCTGACAGCCCAAGATTGTAATCCACTTCCTCTCCAAAAGCACATGACTGCATCTGAAGACCAATGCAAGATGAAATCCACAGGTGTACTGTGACCCCACTGTTCACAATACTACCTGTGTCTGGTTTCTGACAAGTGTGCCACAATTGATACTTAAGAGTTACGAACATTTATGGATGATAAAGAATCGGTTACAATTAAAGTGTTAACCTTTGATACAGTGACGCAGAGTGCGAGGAGTTTGGCTAACTCGTTGATCAGGTCCTGATCCACCGGGAGGCCATGGTCGTGGACCAGGTCGCGGGGGCGTTGATCCCCAGAATACCCTCCAGGTAGACTCCAGGTACAGTTCAATTTGAACGGTAGAGGCCCAGTTATTTATGTGTGCTCCAATTTATGAGAACCATCACTCAGAATACTCAGGAATACCAGCTGCATTTTTGAGTGTGTGTACGTAAGCAATTTTACTAGATAATTTAGTACTTTTGGCAATAAAACAAAACATGGGAAATGAAGATACTACAATTAGATGAATAAAACAAATATTACATGTTAAAATAACTTACTACCTGGAGTTTACCTGGAAAGAGTTCCGGGGGTCAACTCCCCCGCGGCCCGGTCTGTGACCAGGCCTCATGGTGGATCAGAACCTGATCAACCAGGCTGTTACTGCTGGCTGCACGCAATCCAACGTATGAGCCACAGCCCGGCTGGTCAGGTACCGACAAAACAGTTTTCCCGAGATCGCTGCAGTCACTCCTAACAAGTGAAGCCGAAAAAAAGCCACGTTGGTGCATAGTGGTAGTGATAACGGTGGTTTAGAAAGACACGTAAGCAAACACTGACATATTTATCAGAAAACGTTTCGGTCCTGGGACCTTGATCACTTCTAACAATGGTGCTGTTGCATCATTTGCACCGCCACCTATAGCTAACACGCGGATACCAATGAAGCATTACCACCATTGTTAGACTAGTCCAGGCCAGTACCACTCCAAGAACGTCAATATGCACGGGTCAGACTAGGCTGGCTAACTGGTTCAGGATTCATTGCTATGTGCCTAACGTTTCTGTGTAATTAATTCATGAATCACGTTCAAGGACGACCTGATCAGGACAGCAGCTGACATAACAAGTAGGTGGGCCCAGTAACAGGGAAAGCTTAAGTAAATAGGAAGACAGATTTTAACATGTAAGTCAGGTGCCCGAACTTGCATGGTCACTGTTGATGCTCTACTGTATAGCCCTTGTGGTTTAGCGCTTCTTTTTGATTATAATAATATTGATGCTCTACATCTGTTTTGAAAGGCTTTTAATTAATTCAGGTCATCCATAACTACCACACCAGTAATCAGAAGGGTCAGTTCCCTCCCAGCAATCTTGCCGTACACAGCCCAAGCCCCCCCCCTTTTCTTTTTATTTTACACATTCAAGTTTACAGGCTAAGAGTTATCCTATCTCAGCTCATTTCAAAGCCCAGCCCTAACTATGGTATATTACCACCCAGGAACCATATATAGTTTTAAGACGAGGTACGAAAGCTCATGGAGCAGGGAGAAGACCCAGTAGCGGTCAGTGAAGAGACGGGGCCAGGAGCTACGAATCGACCCCTGCAACCACAAATAGGTGAGTACTCCCCAGGATGCAACCCACACCCGTCTGCTAACACCCAGGTACCTACTCATTGCTGAGTGAACAGGGTTAGCAGGTGTAAGGAAACATGCTCAACGTTTCCACCCTGACCGGGATCGAACCCCCACTCACTGTATATACCTGAAGTATACCTGGAGAGGGTCTGTGACCAGCCCTCATAGTGGATCAGGAACTGATCAACCAGGCTGTGAGCAGTGCGCGCTACCAACGGAGCCACGGGACACCTGATCTCTTAATATGGGGTTAACATTCCCTCAAACCTTCATTTCTTTACCCCTGCCAGCCCTTCACCAGCATCAAGGCGCCATCTTAAAGGGATAACTGCCCGGAACCTGGGAGGAAGGGGGGGGGATACATTATATACCAGAACACAATGACATTTATATTAATCAGTGGTAAACACTAGAATTCAGGTTTGATTCAATGTGAGGATCAATGTTGGATCAAGAGCCACTCACGGGCATTGACAACAATGCCCTATAATCCCAGAGAGAGAAGACATACAGTAGGTTAGCAACGCTGTCACACACACACACACACACACACACACACACACACACACACACACAAAAGGCCTAGTGTCTAATTGACATTTGCCTCGGACAAAATGGTAACTAACACACACACACACACAGTCCGTGGTTTGATTCCCGGCACGGGTGGAAACGCTAGCAGTAATAAGATAACTTTGGTGTTAGTCGATTGGTGTGGGTTGCATCCTGCTGGACAAGATTGAAGGACGCCAGTGGTAATAAGATAGTCCTCGATGACGCACTGAGTTAACCTGGGTGGCTAACCCTCCCGATTAAAAAAAAAATCAACACATTTCATCTTATCCAGCAAATAATAGAGCCTACTAGACTGGAGAATACACTAGACCTCATCTTCACTAACAATCATGATCTGATAAGAAATGTCACCATATCAAAAACAATATACTCAGATCACAACATAATTGAGGTTCAGACATGTATGCGTGGAGCCCCAGACCGACATAATGAGACTAGTCACGAGGGAGCATTCACCAAATTCAACTTCAATAACAAAAACATAAAGTGGGACCAAGTAAACCAAGTCCTAACCGATATAAGCTGGGAAGATGTACTAAGCAACACAGACCCCAACTTATGCCTAGAACAGATTAACTTGGTGGCACTCGATGTATGCACAAGGCTTATTCCTCTAAGAAAAAGGAGGAGTAGATGTAAAATAGAAAGAGACAGGCGCTCCCTTTACAGGCGACGGAAAAGAATAACAGAGCGGCTAAAAGAGGTCAATATATCTGAAATGCGTAGGGAGACACTGGTCAGAAATAGCAAGCATCGAACTTAAGCTAAAGGAATCTTAAAGGAGTCAGGAATTGCGGGAAGAACTAAAAGCCATAAATGAAATCGAAAGAAACCCAAAGTATTTCTTCTATGCCAAATCAAAGTCGAGAACAACGTCCAGTATTGGGCCCCTACTTAAACAAGATGGGTCCCACACAGATGACAGCAAGGAAATGAGTGAGCTACTCAAGTCCCAATATGACTCAGTTTTTAGCAAACCGCTAACCAGACAGAGTCGAAGATCAAAATGAATTTTTTATGAGAGAGCCACAAAATTTGATTAACACAAGCCTATCCGATGTTATCCTGACGCCAGATGGCTTCGAACACGCGATAAATGACATGCCCATGCACTCTGCCCCAGGGCCAGACTCATGGAACTCCGTGTTCATCAAGAACTGCAAGAAGCCCCTATCACGAGCCTTTTCCATCCTATGGAGAGGGAGCATGGACACGGGGGTCGTCCCACAGTTACTAAAAACAACAGACATAGCCCCACTCCACAAAGGGGGCAGTAAAGCAACAGCAAAGAACTACAGACCAATAGCACTAACATCCCATATCATAAAAATCTTTGAAAGGGTCCTAAGAAGCAAGATCACCACCCATCTAGAAACCCATCAGTTACACAACCCAGGGCAACATGGGTTTAGAACAGGTCGCTCCTGTCTGTCTCAACTATTGGATCACTACGACAAGGTCCTAAATGCACTAGAAGACAAAAAGAATGCAGATGTAATATATACAGACTTTGCAAAAGCCTTCGACAAGTGTGACCATGGCGTAATAGCGCACAAAATGCGTGCTAAAGGAATAACAGGAAAAGTCGGTCGATGGATCTATAATTTCCTCACTAACAGAACACAGAGAGTAGTCGTCAACAGAGTAAAGTCCGAGGCAGCTACGGTGAAAAGCTCTGTTCCACAAGGCACAGTACTCGCTCCCATCTTGTTCCTCATCCTCATATCCGACATAGACAAGGATGTCAGCCACAGCACCGTGTCTCCCTTTGCAGATGACACCCGAATCTGCATGACAGTGTCTTTCCATTGCAGACACTGCAAGGCTCCAGGCGGACATCAACCAAATCTTTCAGTGGGCTGCAGAAAACAATATGAAGTTCAACGATGAGAAATTTCAATTACTCAGATATGGTAAACACGAGGAAATTAAATCTTCATCAGAGTACAAAACAAATTCTGGCCATAAAATAGAGCGAAACACCAACGTCAAGGACCTGGGAGTGATCATGTCGAAGGATCTCACCTTCAAGGACCATAACATTGTATCAATCGCATCTGCTAGAAAAATGACAGGATGGATAATGAGAACCTTCAAAACTAGGGAGGCCAAGCCCATGATGACACTCTTCAGGTCACTTGTTCTATCTAGGCTGGAATATTGCTGCACACTAACAGCACCTTTCAAGGCAGGTGAAATTGCTGACCTAGAAAATGTACAGAGAACCTTCACGGCGCGCATAACGGAGATAAAACACCTCAATTACTGGGAGCGCTTGAGGTTCTTAAACCTGTATTCCCTGGAACGCAGGCAGGAGAGATACATGATTATATACACCTGAAAAATCCTAGAGGGACTAGTACCGAACTTGCACACGAAAATCACTCACTACGAAAGCAAAAGGCTTGGCAGACGATGCAACATCCCCCCAATGAAAAGCAGGGGTGTCACTAGCACGTTAAGAGACCATACAGTAAGTGTCAGGGGCCCGAGACTGTTCAACTGCCTCCCAGCATACATAAGGGGGATTACCAACAAACCCCTGGCAGTCTTCAAGCTGGCACTGGACAAGCACCTAAAGTCGGTTCCTGACCAGCCGGGCTGTGGCTCGTACGTTGGTTTGCGTGCAGCCAGCAGCTACAGCCTGGTTGATCAGGCTCTGATCCACCAGGAGGCCTGGTCACAGACCGGGCCGCGGGGGCGTTGACCCCCGGAACTCTCTCCAGGTAAACTCCAGGTTATCCTACCAATGTTCAAGAAAATAAGACATGGTACGTTAAATTACAGACGCATAATCTTCACGATTTTGAGGACAGTTATACCACCGGGTATGGACTGGGTTTATCACAGATCAACAAAACTACAGTAAAAAGCAAAGTAATTCAGACGAAATTTAAGTATTCTATGACAGGATGACCTTATGTAAAGTAAAAGGACACAAGTGCAACTAATGTGACATTTATTGTGGCAACGTTTCGCTCTCCAGGAGCTTTATAAAGCTCCTGGAGAGCGAAACGTTGCCACAATAAATGTCACATTAGTTGCACTTGTGTCCTTTTACTTTACATATTGTCGGGAATTCTACCAACTTTATTACAGGATGACCTTAATTGAAGAGAGACTACATATTCTAAGAAGACACAAGGCTTTTGAGAGGGGTCTCAACAGCAATTATTTTCCAGTCTGGAATACTTGTAAAGGGTATTTTACTTACATGATTACGAAGCACTAGAAAAATTTAGGTATTTAACGCTTTCTATAGACAATTTCCCATATTAATATTTTACTATAGTTAAAAAATTTCATCACTAGGCAAGCTAAATAATTAGAAGTAAATAGCATTCGGTAAACCTTAGTAACTAAAGTCGCTAGCCACAAGTCAACGAATTTTAGACAAAATGGTTAATATCTCTAGATTTACGTTAAAAAACAGACCAGCAGATCATACGTAGTAGAAAAAAAAACATACCACGGGTGGGGATAGAACCCGCGATCAGATCGCGGGTTCTATCCCCACCCGTGGTATGGTTTGTTTGCAATAGTGTCATTTCGATTTCATGAGTCATGTAGACGTAGTAGGTTCGCCTTGTCCCGGCCCGGGACTTTTCCAGATGGTGACCCGGCGAGCACATCACAAAGACTCTCTCTCATGGGCAAGGACGGGGGTAAGAGAAGGAGGGCGGCAGCTAAGGTACTCTACCAGATGAAGGAGTACTTGATAAACAGAAGGCTAATATGTAGGGTGGATGAAGCAACACGGGTTCCCTAGTGACCAATCCTGTGTGGCAGTGGTCTGAACAACACTATTCATGATATTCCTTTCCCATCTTACCAAAGCTTTGGCCATACAAGTCAAGTATTCATGGTACATTACGTAAATAACCTTGAGTATATCTTCTAATGTGAATGTAGATCACGCAGAATTAATGGGTAAACATAGCAGATATTGCAAAAGCTACAGCACATGGATATGCTCCAAGAATGTTCTAATTAACAACCCAAATTAATGCAAGGTAATGAGCGAGAGGCAGTTGTTCATGTCAGACAGGTTAATTAACCTCAAGACAACAGAGATCCTGTCTCCAGAATCTCTCAACCCGGATAACGTCAAATGCATACGCAACATTGCAAGAAAAAAAAAGGCTTACAGAAATAACAAGGATTCCTTCACGATGCAAGACACCTTACCTAAGAGGAGTATATAGCACCATCTTTAAGATGTATCTCCGTGAGAAGGTCCAGACATGTGGTTTCATTCCTAGGCTGTTCCCGAGATAAAAGACCAGTTATGTGGTCAATACTTCAGAAAACAAGGCTCCTGATGTGCCATGATCACCTTAATTGACACACACAGGTTATTGATACCGGTTAGACCGAGAAAGGGGAAGGCCATGGGCAGAGCGACGAGGTAAAAATGTTAAATGTACAACTAAACGGGCCCGAGGAGTAAGCTCCTCCACACCAAGAAATTGGGCAACACCACAGTGGAAAAAAAGACTGGGGTCCCCTCCCACACCCACTAATAGAGCAATACCAGTGTATCTACGTAACTACAGGCTTTGGCAGGTGTTGCCTGGCAAACCCCGGCAAAGGGAGCCAACCTAAGCAGCAGAAAAAAAAAGCAGCAGTGAGTAACAATAATATTGACGTTGCTTACCCTTACCAATATTATTATAATCATGGGGGAGCGCTAAATCCATAGGATTATACAGCGCATGTGAAGGGAGGGGAGGTATTCAGGCTCAATTCAGGGAACTAGAGCACAGATCCAATTCCCTAGATCAAGAGCCCCTCACCAACATCAAGGAACCTCCTTGAGGGGGCCCTTACCAATAGTTATGGTTAGAAGAAGAAAACAAGAACACTAGTCACAGACGGCAACATGAGAGTAAGAAACACTCACTAGGGTAGGTCCTGGCGTGGATCCACGGGTCGCCACTGCTGTGGTGAGCCATCTTAGTCTCCACCTTCGTGGCGTTCTCCGGTAAGGGGTGGTGGCGGGCGTCTGCATCTGGGCTGTACCTGGGGGTGGAGAGGCAGCATCGCGTACTTATTAAAACAAACTGATATGAACTCAGGGAACTCTTAAAATTTGACTTCAGCGTGTTGAAAGTTTCATTTAATAAAACTTTGGAGTTTATTTTGAAAATGCTCTAGATTTTAGATTAGATTTTGCCACCGAAGTGGCTAGTTTATTGTGCACTCATATCCATCCTGTGGACGGTAGCGCGAGAGCATGTGGATACACAAAAGGCCTAGGAACTAGGCCCCAAAGGGTTAACAGGAATACATATGGATTTATATCTACATATCTATAGTTCAATTATTTGTTACAAGCAAATTTAGGAAATATGCTTAGTATATCTGGTATCTGATTTTCATTAATAAGATATCTTGACATGTCACATACGTTATTATACTGTCTCTGTATTCCTCAATAAGTGGACAATTAAGCACATAGTGTTCAAGACAGTGACCATATGCCTGATCACATAATTTACATTTAGTTTGATCATCATCTGTGTCAAAACGCCAAAACTAAATAAAAAAATAATCAAATTGATACTTTGCAAAAAAAAAAAAAAAAAGTTACAGACGTGACTACACAACAGTAAACCCGGGTTCCCACAGACACCTTTCATCTTTTATTTAGTGTACTCTTGGCGACATCATATTATAATAAAAAAAGGCGCTAAACCACAAGGGCTATACAGCGCTGCTTGGCGACAAAGCACTGTCTTCCCCTGGTAGACAGGATCGAGCCTCCACCAACTGAAGGGTTAACCAAGGATGATCCAAGAAAGCAGTGTGGTAATTTTCCGTTGGTGGTCCTGTGTCCTCCAAGATATGGAGAAGTTAGTCAACTTAGTGCAATTATTTGATGCCAAGGAGAAAAGAAGTCTACCCACGGTTCTTAAAAGATTGAACCAGAGACCTTTTGCGAGCCTAATGCTGTATTAATGAATGAAAACATACCAAACTATAGTAGCCCTCAAGACTTGAAACTAATCTGACTTATCTTCTGGAATAGAGAAAATAAAGTAAACGATGAAAAAACAACATGGAGTACTTCACTTAGAAATCCAGATTCATTAAAACAAACCAGAAACAAAAGAACGTTTAGTTATTTAAGCAGAATACAGAATGCAAATCATTTGACAACAGCTTGGCTGGTCAGAAATCAATGTGTAATTAGCGAATTTAGCGTAACAAGGATAGCGCCTCCACCACTGTACTTAATGACCCACACGAGTTTCCCCATTTCATGAAATTAGTACAGTGGAAGAACACGTCAAATGCAAAGCAGACGTGACGGAAGCAATGCTAACAGAAGCAAACCATTAACACAAAGACAAAGAATAAATACTTTTACCGGTGTGCTTTACCTATTATTATTATTATAATCAAGGGGGAAGCGCTAAACCCGGAGGATTATACAGCGCCTGGGGGGGGATGTGGAAGGCATTCAGGCTTAATTCGGGGAACTGGAGCACAGATCCAATTCCCTAAATCAAGAGCCCCTCACCAACATCAAGGAACCTTCCTTGAGGGGTGCTTTACCTATGACCGTTTTCTAGGGCTCTTCTGAACTGAAGCCAAGACCTGGTCAACCGGGTTCAAATTTGTGATAGAGGCCCCCAGGCCCACACAGCTACTTTGGCACTTTTAGCACTTCAATCTTGAGCAATGGATGCTAACAGTTCTCTAGAATTGTACCCATGATACCCCAGTTCTTCACTATTCCGAGCTTCTCCCATAGCTTTCATTCCAATAACTTATAGTGTGCAGATCCTTATGTACCCATATACATATCAGTTCTCTCGTTCCAGAGAACAATGTTGATGCGTTAAGGAGTTCCTGAATACCAGACAACAGATGTTGAAAGTTACCCCTAGGCACAACACTGGAAAATACACCAGCACACAGGAACAAATCAACTCAATCGCGGACTAAAGTGATATTCGCATAGATTTTTTTAAGTCCTGTCTAAAATTAAGTTTCAAAGGATTATGTAACCTAAGGAAAAATGAAAGCTTTAATATCAGAGGAAAAGTTGAGTTGACTTTGGGTACCTCTTAGGAGAGAGAGGTGCGTGCCGACACCACACAATACCCACCAGTTTAAAAAATTGACTTATACAAGTAACTTGTCCGTCACACAGTGAAACTATTCTATATTTTGAAGGTAATATGTTATAAAAAAAAAATATACGTCCATGCTAAAAATACAGCAGAATTACGTAAAATGGACACAAGTGTACGTCTATCTGAAGTCAGAATATTAATAGAAAACGTCCCCCAAAGTAGTAATCTAATAACATGAATACAATATCGTTTCACAAGGGAGTTTAATAGATCATTCACATCTATGAGAATATTTAACGTTCAATAAAAGGCATACCTGGAGGGTGATCCGGGGGGTCAACGCCCCCGTGGCCGGTCCATGACCAGGCCCCGCATAAACAAACTAAAATTAACCATAAAAAAAGTCACAAACACACAAGTTAAAATTATCACCCGAACATTAATCTGCAGCATTTAAAAATCAAGGCACGAATAAAAGCACGTCTGATGCGTCAACATACAGCTCAGAGGACCTAGACAACGCTGTGTATTTGTTTGTAATAAGTGTGGATAATCAAATGCCACAAGAAGCAAATCCCTGACCTCAGATCTGGAGTTTGCTCAGTGGGTTGAAGCTCGTCAATTCCCTGCAATCAAACTGTACGCTGAATTTCTTCTTGGCATATCAATGTATTACAGAACAGCTCTTTTCGTTCTCTGGCGTTCAACTAAACTCTTTTAACCTTTCAATGTGACAGGTCCTTAGTGCGTCTCCTCACACACGCTACATCAAGCTAGGGCTCCACCCGGGCACCCCCCTATAGGGTTTCACCCGGGCACCCCTTACAGGGGTTTCACCCGGGAACCCCCTACAGGGTTCCACCCGGGCACCCCCTACAGGGTTTCACCCGGGCACCCCTCCCAGGGCATTTCTGACAACAGACAGATACTGGGCAGTTAAGGTAAACCCATGAGGGTCATGCAGAGCCTGGGAATGGAAGGACTGGGGGGCATTTATCTTGATTACAAATCATCAGAACCATTTTGTTATTCACTAATTTTTTTTAGCGTATTTGTATAATTATCAAATTGCTAGTCATAGTCATGACCAGTGCACTCCTATAGTATGTAAATTACAATCACAAAATAAACATAACTCGCATTCCATAATCCATATCCATTATTTACTCCATCACCCACAAGTGTATTAATTTAAACAAAAGTTAAATATCCACAACATTTATAACAAAAGACTAAACCGCTCACAATGTTAAGCAGACCGAGCGTGGGGGAAGGGAAGATCTGATCAGAGGAAGGAGAGATTAGCTTCAATTCTTTGGATCAAGAGCTCCTTCGCCGTTCAGAACAAGCATGGGCAGCTGCCATTTTTTATTCTGGCTGCTTAACAATGAAAACAATATATTCTTCATGGCAACAAAATACAACTAAATCTCCAGCAACACTGACAAAAAGTATAAAAAATATTGAAAACAAAAGCAATACAAATTTCCACCATACGACTGCCAAAGTACCAAAGTAGGTAATAGCGGCAAATAAAACTTATGGAGAGGGTCAATATAACTCAATGATCCATCAAGTGGACACCCACATAGCTGGGTGGGGTTGGTCACTGTGGGACGCGAGAAGCAACGAATTTTTACTAAATACTTATAACGATATCTTTACTGTGCTGAAAAACAAGACTTACCCAAGAATTATTGCATAGGATCAGATATACGCGAGTTCTATCCCTAACTGGAGTATTGCTTCACTTAGAAAACTGAGTTCTATCCCTAACTGGAGTATTGCTTCACTTAGAAAACTGAGTTCTATCCCTAACTGGAGTATTGCTTCACTTAGAAAACTGAAGACTCTCTGACCTCAACCACATACTACTAACCCTTCTGGTACAGTCTTCCTACACAATTCCCACCGTCTGTATTACCCTCTGACTTAACATTTTACTATTTTTTACAGTCCAAATTATGTTACGGCCGGTTTTCTCTTAATGGAATATTTAAATTTTTAATTGTTGGAGATATGTTACAAGATTCTCTTTATAAATAAGTTTTACACATGCACAAGATGGATGGTTTCTGTTTTGGCTTCAACATTGGCTATTTTTATTTTTGGGATACGAGAAAACATTTTGAAAAAATGGCCCCCATATTTAAAGAAAACCTAGACATGTATCAACCTAAGGTCCAGTTCCTGGACCATGTTCCTGATATGTTGTTAATAATGCTGTCAAATCAATCATTACTAAATTCAACATTTATTACATTTGTGTATTATAAGTATCCCCCCCCCCCTCTCTCCGGAGTTCCAAAACTATCTCAAGCTCTCAATTGTATTAACTAACACTACAGCAGTACTAGGATAAATATACTATGAAATAGATTTTACCGAGCATCTTCTCTAGCGAAGAACCGAATCCTGTGGTATTAAAGGACACGCTTTTATCTAGAGGACTGTTCAGTAATCAGTACCATTCATTAGAACAGGTTCTCTCTCGCTCGTTATTCAAGGATGCTTTACGGTAATTAAAATTCTCAGCAACCCACAGGCCGTCAGCCAGCCTTTTAAAACCTCTTCAACCGGTGGCCGGCAGAACGAGGAGATTAACCAGTGCCAGGAATGATGAGATTGCTGAATTGATGAGTGGTAGAGTCCAGCTTGTTCATCGTCTCCTTTGAGGATAATGAAACACATGGAGGAGAAAGGGGGTCAGCGCACACAAGAACAATCTGAGGCACCAGATAGGTGGATCAGGAACAAGTCAAGATACCAGCTGCAGAATAAGCTATTAAAGGAATACCTTCGTTCAACTAGCAATTAGGCAGAACTGTCTACTACAGATATTTTCATAATATCTGTAATATCCTGAATCAATTAGGCAACCAGGTATAAATGCTAAGGGCAGCAGAGCAACATTACATAGTGAACATTCAAAGGGAA